AGGTATTGGTCTAAATTCCCTATAATACGGGGTCCTATATTTGGGTTCCCATTAAAATACGGGTCCCTATATACATTTCCCTCATTTTAGGAACAGTAATTTAGGGAAACTTCCATATATTCGCAGTCCTGTGTTTGTAGTTTCGCAGTTGCACGTCTAGTGCCACCATATCCTTTTGTTTTTGGCTGCCTTCACGCTGGCAGAAGCCTAGAGCGGCGCTTGGCGCCAGATGGGGAAGAGCATCTGTTTGCATCCCTGGCTGCATGGTGACCTATCGGTAGCCTTATCCATTACCATAAACAGAGCCCCGCTCGATGACAATGCCGGGTGGGAAAGATGTCTGCAACAAATTCGACCGCAGGCCTTGGAATGCAAATGATTCTTCAAAGCCGCAGAACACAAAAGTTGGTGCCTGCTGGAAGGCTGAGCAGGACGCACAAGAGGTTATACTACTTGAGTCCCAGAACGCTTGAGTGGAGTACTAGAGGATGCCTGCAATCAGGTATAGTACATGACTATACCTGACTACTGGCACGCACGCAAGAATCCCAGACAGTTCGGAGGTACGGGCCTCCCCCACCGGCATATGCAGCTGACATCGGGTACGGCAAGATGGAGGCTGCTTTGGCTTGAAAGTATTTGGTAACCCTGAGGTCTTACAGGTAAACGCTGGGCCCGCTACGCCCAAATGTGACAGAGGTTTCTGCGCAAAAGATATGCACCAAGTGTGATTTTCTCCCCAGAACAAGATAACTCTGCCTCAGATACGGGAAATTTTGTACAAGGGGCGACCTGATGGTCAGAAAGAAAGCATCGAACATGTCATGGCAGATAGTCGCAGGACACATTGCAAGGGACACGCATGCACGAGGCACAGCTGAGCAAAGTTGTTTCCGAGAAGTTTAGGGGCTGTTGGTGCCAATAAAAGCTCCACCGGATTTTCAGAAGAAATAGGTAAGTGGTCGCCGGCGGATTTTCAAGTGGTCGCTAGCGAGCTAGCGTTTCACTCACAGACCGCAACTCCAGTTGGTGGCTGGGGGGAAAGCCTAACGCAGAGTAGCAGGGTAATGAAAGCCCCAAAATGCACAACAACACCAAGTGGCGTGATACGGAGAAGGTTGGTAAGGTAGAGGGAAGGGATAACTCACACAAATCAAGAAGTGCACACAGCTAAAGATCATGAGGCCACGAGAATACGCTGAAACCCGGACTGTGTAAATAGTAAGCAATAACCTCTGCCCCATGACCAGAAACCCCTAAAACCTTAAGCCCCCAAGCCTAAATCCCTAAACCACAACCTGCCTTCCCAAAACCCCGAATCCGTGACGGTATCAGTCTGACTGAAGGTGCGGCCTCGCAGCTCCACCCGTAGAGGGCCGAGAGGAAGAAGACGAGGACTTTTAGGGGCTTAAGGATGCGAGTTGTTCAGGCCTTTTGGATTTTGATGCTTTTGTGTTTGACGTTAAGGCCTAGGCTAGGGTTGAAACAGTCTTCGTGCTTGAGAAGCGCGGTAGGAGAGGCTTTCAGTTCTTGCCGGCTTATAGAGCCAGTGGTCCCGTGTTGTCATGTCTTTAGATAAAGCTACTTTACTCCGTCCTCCATCTCTTCTTTCTTCCCGTCCCGCCTTGCTTCCTTCTCTCCCTCCCGAGTTCCCAGCTTTTCTCCTATCTGTACTTAATACTTATGCTTGTGGGAGTCTGTTTGGAGGGATGAGACGACGCACAAGCATCCGCTTTGCCGACTCATCGGCAAAATGCGTCTTGAGGCAAACAGCGCTTTCGAGCCGAAGAATTGTGAATTGCGCAACGGCAGGAGTAACAGAAGTTGTAAAGCTGGGCATGGTAAACTCTAAGCCTGAAACTGTGGGCCCCTAGTATGGGCCCTTAACCCCGGGATCCTTATATACTTACTTTAAATACCCTAAGGTTCTAGAATCATTAGGGGCCCAAACTTCTATCCTTAGATAAACGTATTGCTTGGGGCGGCGGGCATGCCAGCCTCGTACAGCCCTAACCGCACAGGCTCACTCAAACTTAGCCAAGCCCCGTAACCACGACGGCTAGCTTCATCTGAGCCGTTGTTTTTTTTTGATGTGTTTTTTGTTTCTCTTCGTGTTGTTTTTAGTGTATACCGGTTCAGCCATTTGAATGTGAAGTTTCGCTTTCTGGGGGCCTAAATGGACGGATTGCATGCTGCAGACTTAGCTAATCAGGGTAATGATGGGTTTTCCAAAATTAGGGATACCTTTACAATAAGAAGGACTAGTAGGAATTATTTGAGGTCTACATTGGAGTTTGCCATTCATTTGGAAATTGCCGATTGGCAAGTTCAAAATTCGAGCGCCCTAATAGGCAACTTTTCCTGCAGGCGTTGCGAAGGGCTTGTCGATGCGGGATGCTTGTGATGATGCTAGATGCTAGCGATACACTTCTGGTGGAAGGGTTGTCGGATTGGATGTCTGGTTCACAGTGGCACAAGTAATTAGTTTAATAGCGGGAGGTCGGGCTGGCCAAATTTGCCTGTGCGAGCGTTTTCTCCCGTCAACTCATGTTTTTTTTTCGCCGTCTCATGCCTGCTACCATAGCGATGCTGACGACTCCGGACGCTGCAATCGCTCTTTCCGCTGCTGCTGCTGCTGCTGCTGCTGCTGCTGCTGCTGCCCCCTCGATTGCCGCTTGCGCTACTTTTGACTCCACGACTGATAGTAGCGGTGCTCCTGCTGCTGCTCAGGCTGCTAGTGTTACTCTTGCGACAAGTACTGGTTTTAGCACCGCTGCTGTTGTTGCTGCTTTTGTTGTCATTGCAGAATGTCCCAGTTGATTCCCTGCCAGGACAAGACAGGCACAGGCCGCGCAAAGGGTTGCAAGGTCATCCTTGTACGCATCCCTCGTTCCCCACAATGTCACAGCCCCTCCCTGTGTAGGCCATGCTGACCCTGCGATAGTTTTGAATACTGAGGAGTGGCAAAAGGCATGCCGAAGCATTGGGGTTGCCAAGAAAATGTACAGCCTCATAAACAACGGCTCATTTTGATGAAATGCATTTTTGAAGCTATGTGTGCATTGTTGCTGCTAGATTAAATTTGGTTGCGCTGCGTATGCAGGGGACGCAGCAGATCTCCAAGCCGTGTTCGCGCGAAGAAGAAGTTCCTGGGATTGAATCAGAGATGCAGCTTCTCAGAACTATATTTTTTCAATTGTTGGGGGTGCATAGGTTGCCCCTTTTTTTTGAGACACACTCTCATAGCATCATTCCTCAGGAGGTCCAAGCGCAGAGGTTTTGGGCTAAAGGATTCCTTCGGAACTGTTCAACTGGTTCTTAAGCCTTTGCTATCCTGAATGTGGATACAGGTCTTTGTAGGGGTTTCCCAAAATTAAGGGTACCTTATCGGGGGTCCCTATAATCAGGATTATAATAGGTTGGGGTCTATATTGGGGGTCCCCTTGTTTTAGGAAACTGCCTTGTGTTGCTTTGGCAGACGGTTGCCACACCAAGGAGACGGCGCAACCGGAAGCCGTCTTGCTGGCTGAGTTGGTCTGTGCGTCCACTCTGCATCTAAGACCTCAAGAGTCGGGAGAAGCCAAGTCTGTGCTTGCATGTTGTTGCCATCCTTGAGAACTGAAGATAGGTCTCAGGCAGTTTCAGAGCAAACCGTTTGCCTTTCCATGTTTGACAGTGCAAGCACGCTTAGCTTCTGCGCCTTGTGCTTACTGGATTAGCATTCGCAGCACGGAGAGGAGTCTGAACCTTGCTGTTGTGTTTTCCAATTTGTCGTCGCATGACAGGAAGAGCCGGCGACTCAGCACAGATCGCACATCTCTGCAGACTGCACTGCGCTTTGCCGCAGCACTTGCCACTAAAGCTTCTGGGCGTGAACCGTCAAGCCCCAGAATGGTCCTGCCGCCGCACTGTTGTTTCATGATGCCTTTTACTGCTGCCACCATTTTATTTCCACCTCGTCACCCCCACTCCTACTAATGACGGCAATCATGCCATTGCCGATTCTTGCCTTCATTTTGCTGATGCAGTCCTCATGATCTTGATGCAAAGCTGAAAGGTCCGGGGGAGCCCCCGCCAAAGTGGGGCGACACCTGGGAGGAGACCTTTGCGCATGACAGCTACCAAGGGAGCCCGATATTAGGGGTTTCCAAGTCTTGGGGTCCTTGTAATAGGGACTATAGCATTTGGAGGTTTACATTGGGGTCCCCGATTTCTGGAAACTACTATGTCCCTTCTACTTGTTTATCCCTGAAACATGTGGGGGGCTTTCAATTTTTGATCACATTGGAGGCCTTGCTTGAATCATGTTGGAATCCGTCGTGTGTGGTACATAAATGTCTCTCATTAGGGGATCTCTCTCTCTCCCTCCCTCTCTTTGTCTACAGTGTACAGTTGATTCCCACTTTTCAAGCCCCCATGCGGGCTTGATGTTGTGTTGTTGCGGTCTGCTGGAAATGGGTTATCCTCAAAACTATGGGCCCCTTTGGGTCATAGAGTATACTATATTATGGCACGTAGTATTTAGGGTACCAAAATGGGACCCCAATTTTGGGAACTACCCATATTTATGGGGTCTTGGGCTTTCAAGTCACCAGCAGATACTGTCTTAATACTAACCTGGGCAGATCATGAGTACAGTAATGGGTTGAAAAGTGCTGGGCATGCCCGCGTAAGTACCTACAGAAGACTGACTCAGGAGCCGCGATCTGCTACCGGCTTGAAGCTGATATCCGAGATTGCGCCAAAGGCAGCAGCTGCCAGTTTAATGAACTGGGCGGAATCCGTGCAAAACGTTTTCCAAAGATTCTTTGAATCAGACTCTAGTTTGGATGTTGCTTGCTCTCGCTGCTTCTGTCAGTCTCTTGCCTGGCGGCTAATCCTCAACGATGAGTCGCGGCGTTGCTTTGCTTCCTTCATGCCGTCACCAGCAGACACCTTAGCATGCTAAGCTCGTGAGCAACCGATCGTGCGTCATCCGTCGCAGCAGTTTCGTGACCTAGGTGCCACAGCCACGGCTGCAGGCCTTTTTCAGAACGATTCGGGACCGCAGCTCATGCATGTCTTTGCTCATGTCCCTGCCACTGCAGCAGAGGCCCCGGGGCTCTTATTAGAGTGAGAGTACCTTCCAGCAAACACTCAGTTCTGCAACCAAGCCAGCACCACATGGGTCGCCTGCCATTGCAGATGAGCCATAATCCAAACTCCTAAAGGGGGGTATATAAGGGATGATGGGGATACTAGGAGTTTAGACTATGCTCATATTCCTTGATGTTTTGACTAGGGGTCTCGGTTTCTGGAAGCGCATTGGAGTCCTTCCAGCAACCGCGGCGCGGCATCTTCACTAGCAGACTTATCACTCTGCCTGCTGTTACTACATATCACCACCACCACCACCACCACCACCACCACCACCACCATTATTATTAAGCTACTGCTTCAAGGAAGCCCCATTATCATTTTCCATGATATGCATGGTAACCCAAAACCATATATAACCTCTATGTAACCCCATAAAATAACCCTGCTGTCTAAGCCCGTTTAAAGGGACCTTATGTAACCGCATATATTCCGGCATGGGCGGCTACCTTAAACCCTAACCGCCCTAACCCTGCCCTAACCCTAAACCATATATAGCCTCGATATAAATATATGTGTATACAGGTATATATCGCTATTTAGTTATAGTCCCCCTTGGTAGATAAAACATGCATTTGCTCAAAATCATAATAAGATTCGGGAGGATGGCACGATGTGGCTTCAGCCAGATGGGCCGCAGGGGCCGATGCCGCGGAAGACAGCCTGGATGGTAGTGGCCTTACTTGGTGTGGATATTAAGGGTTTAGGCTTTGGGATTTAGTGTTGAAGTTTAGGGTTTTAAGAAAACCTACATGACCTCAAGTACCTTATCCCCTAAAAATGTGGTGTCAGAAGGGTTTAGGGTGGGTGTTTGATTTGAGTCCCTTGGTGACTTAAGAGAGGTGGTAAAGACGTCTATGCATAGTCGGGTCGTAGGAAGTTGTTGCTGAGGGGCTTTTTCTGAGTATATAAGGATGATAAATCAGAACAGTTTTCTGAAATGGTCTGTCGTACTCAAGTCTGCAGCTGGGAGCTGTGTCGCTGCGATAGGGGGTGTTGGAGGGTAATAAGGGGCTCATGGCTCCAACTTGCTAGAGGTGATAGATCTCATGGATCCACCGACCCACTGCGCTAAGCTCAAAATGAGCCTCCTTACAGATCCTAAAAAGATGATTCCAAGCATATGAGATCCCAATACGGGAGACTCGGTTTAATGCTATCATGCCCAACGCCGGGCAAGTCAGTAAACCATGGCATGATAAATGGTGATGCAACTCCCTTCCCTGGTAGCGGGCAGCAGGAAGCCCCAAAAAGATTGCAGTGCTTTAGCAGCTGGAGCTGTCGCGCTCGTACAAATTATAAGTAGTAGCTGCAGCGTCTACCAGGCCGGTGCCAGGCCGCAGTAGTGCAATGATGTTGTAAGCGTCACACCATGTCCTTGTATGGCCAGGCACCCACCCCATATCTTAGGATTCATTGAATGTCGCAACCAAAGGCAACCTATTTCAGAGATACTGACGTGCGAGCTGTTCTGAAGAGAACCCTTTGCAAAGTATGGTCGCTATACAATCCCACCATTCATTTGCAACGGCACAGGCTCATGATTTTCATGCATACCCTGCGTGATCCATGGTTCAATCCCATACAACATGTTTTCGGAGGTCCGTCCTGGCTGTAAGTGCGGCTACAGATATGGAGGCGCCGTTGCAGATTGAGACCTCTCAAATTTGGTGTCCCTTTTTTTTGGAGATGCTAAACATAAAGGTCACGTCTTTGGTGGGATATGTTGAGATATGTCACGGACATGTTTTGTTGAGGAGAGCTGCTGTTTACGTGAAACGAGCTGATGGAAACCAGTGAAGATTCGGAGGGAAGGGGGTCAGACATGATGTAATTGACAGCGTGTTCTTGAGCGATGGTGGTGTTGAGCACGGTGTGGCTTGACCGTAGTTAGCAAGCAGGCAAGACTCAATAACTGCGGACGGGAAAGTGTGGCATGAAGCTTCTAGGGAGGTGGGAGGTTTACGCATGATGCACTAGGGTTTGAGGGGAGCCTATTTGAAAGATGCAATGTCAGGTGGCTCGTTGTCCCCGTAAAAAAAAACGCAGTGATTTCCCAGTTTTCCAGTTCTTGTTTGTGAGAACCCTACGTGCATTATAACCACATATATCTCAGCACGTCCAAGACCTCAAAACCTCATCGCGAATGGTGGTTGCATTATGGCGTGCTATCGAGAGTGTTTACGGACTTGGTACACATTCGGCCGCAAATCCTCATGGCAGAAACTTGCGCGTGTGTTTGCACAGAAAACCTAAACCACTATAAACCCTATAATCCCAGTTTCCATTTCATTTTCCATTTTCTTTTCTTTTGATTCTCCATTTAAACCCTAAACCCTACCCAATGTGTCAGATATTTGCTCAGGTGTGCTGGTGGAGCCGCAGGCCCTACCCCAGACGCAAGAGGATCCACATTGTAACACGCCCCAGTAGGGCAGCCTTCCGCGTGTCGATTGCAGGGAGGAAGTTTTCGGAAACAGCATGGGCTTTCATCAAGTATTTGAAATTTTCAGTGGGGGAGTCAAATAAACGCAGGTCTCATGTGCTGACAGTACGGACTGTCGAATTGCCATTTGCGCCGTTCAGAATGCACCTTGGGAAATCGAGCATTCAGTCGTGTTGTGGTGCACGCCATCTTGGTTGATGCTGGCAAGGAAGTAGGAAAATCACTGCTCGGTGAAGCGCAGGTCTTCCCAGCTTGGATGACCGATGTACTTCGTCCCTTGCCAGCACCTTCTGAAGCGCATGATCTTGAACCGCATGGGCACTTGAAAGTGCACAGAGCAATTTAACGCTTACCTTCACTGAACTTCACACCACAAGCTACCCAGCTTCTTCATTCCTCTTTCTCAGGAACGTATATGCCGTACTGTGGCATGCCGAAGGAAGAGGACTGGTTCAGATCCCAGTTGCCTCTGCAAGTATTTTCAGTGGCCTCAGCAGATGAGGGAATATCATCGTGCCCGAGGCCGGACAGCTGCAATGTCAACCTGTATGAGGATGGCTCGAACTCTGTCGGCTGGCACTCTGACGACGAGGCGGCGTGATGTCCTCTCCGCCTGACCAATTTGCTACAGGTTTGTGCTGAAGGCAGTGGCTAAGCCAGCAGCTGCTTCGATGTCCTGTACAGTTTTCTCGCAAAGTGCAAACAAACTACTTCTGTCCAAGATGGGAGATAGATGGCAGGAGGCAAGCTCATGAATTCTACTAGCAAATGGCTAAGTTTGGTACATGTGTCTCCTGATGTCTCCTGTGCGGTATGGCGCATATGAAAAGGAATACATGATGGTTTTGTCCAATCACACTTTTCTGCTGTTAGACGCTTCTTAGCGACTTATGAGTTGGTTGGTAGCATACAAGTGCTCATATATATACACCCTATATAATCCCTATATAATCTATTATCCCTATATATATCCCCAATATAACCCTAATATTCTATCTACTTAAGGGGGACTAATGTGGTTGCCGCAGGAGGATTTCCTGAGCATTGGGGGTTTCCTCGGCCATAAGCACTGGAATCAGAAGCCCGTACGTCGTTCCCAACCTGTTTTTAATTGATTTGGAAATGTCAACATATCAATGCCCTGTGGAAGGGAGATTCTGACAGTAATCTTATCCAGGAAGTTTACCCTGAACATGCAGAAGACATGCAAGGGCATCCTGCTTTGTCCAGCAGGCCCTATAACTTTAGCAGCTGCCCAGTTGGGGTTGTCAACAGGCAGACCTTGAGTCCTTCTTCTCAGGACTCCGATGCTAAAAAAGAACGCTAGTTGCCGTTAGTTGCTGTACGACCCCATAACATTGAGAAACCTAGATCACCTGTCTGCGAGGCCTTGTTCCAAGGCCTCAGCCACGACGTGCGAATAGTTTCGTTGCTGGCAGCTCAGAGCGCTCAAGAGACATAGAGTACGGCGCATAGGAGTTTGGGGTTGGGGTAGGGGTGTTTGAAGGGCATGGGCTTTCAATTTGAGATTGCGGGTTGAGTTTGCACAGGGTTAAGAAACATTTTGTATGTAGGTTCTACAGTTTCCTGGTTTGGGCCTCCAGAGATCCAGGCTCTTGATCGGGAGACGTGCCCGGTCAATCCGCATAAGTTTCGCTTCTTCGCAATTGCTTATGCCTTTGCTTGTGCACCGCGCGGCAAGCACAGATAGTTCAGAAGGAATGGCAAACTGATGTGTCCACAACTCGGTGGCGCTACAGGCTGTCCAATGCCGCTGATAGCAAATCAGCCGCTATGCATGTAAGCAGCACTCCGCTGTCCAAAGTCCCGAAGCTCCCCTAGAAGATATGGCACAAGGAGCATGTGAACTGCCCCATAAAAACACCCAGTAGTTTCCCGTGTCTTTTCATTATGTGCCTACATTGCCCATAACTTAAGTGGCTCTTGCCCTTAAGTTCTTGGCCTGCATACTCTGCTTTAAGATTCCTTGCTTGACCTTAGTCTCCATGCCAGTAACCTAGACCTGTGGTAAAACCCCATATAGAACCTTATATAAGCCGTGGTCTTAACTCCTTAAAAGGGGTTATATAGGGGATTAGGTAGGGGACTACTATAGGGGCTATACTGGGAGTTTAGACTATAGCTCATATAAGCCCTATAGAGAGCTGCCTGCGGTGCTTTCAACTTTGAGGTCCCTCGGTCAGCAACGGAAGTTTGACCTCAGGAAGAATTGGCCAGAGGCTGGGAGGGAAAAATTCGGAGTCAATAGTAATAGTAATTAGTAATAAGAATAAAAGTAATAGTAATAGGGGCCTGAAATGCGGGTCTCGCACTTAGTACTTAGTACTGCTGTTGCTACTACTTGTTGAAAAGGACCCCTGCGAAATTGCGGATTCCGAATCTAATGCGTTTGTCGGGAATGCCAGAGGAATTTTGCAGCGCACCGTCCCTGAAGCAAGTGCTTCATCGTAGCAGCTCTTTTCAGGCCATTCCAAGCGCCACCTTGTACACCCCCTTCAGCAAGACATCAATCAGAGCTTGGAAAGCACGGTGCAAACACACCTAACCTGTGCCAAATTGGTGTTGAGCTCGCGAGCCTGCCTTAAATCATCAGGATACCTGTAAAGGATCTTACTCTGAGGATGCCAGGGGCGGAACGAGAATCAAGATGCGCAGACGATGTCTGCAAACGCATTTTCAATAATTCTGCATCTGCCACATGTTGCGCTGAGATAAAGGGGGTGTGTATGATCAGTGGAATAGAAAAATCTTGATTTCGCAGGCGGGTGAGAAGATCCAGGAACGCCTTCACCTTGGCAACGGTTCCCAAGCCGCAGTAGTTCATGAGGTCGAGGGCCCTAGGCCATAGGGTGCGGAGTCTAAGGTTAAGGGCCTTTGGTGTTCAGTGAGGAGGCAAAGGCTCCTTGCTTGGAACTTCAATTTTGAGAGTTCGAGGTCCGCAACTTGAGGCTTCGAAGTCTCTTCCCTGCAAGGCTCCTGATCCTTCTAATATCTTCTAATGGTTTAGATGTCTTTGCAGGAGAGTAGCTTAATATACACTACTCCTGCATCAGCCTTGTTCGGAAGTCGCTTCTTGCATGGGCGTTTCTCAACATCATGCCGCTCGACTCCTTCAGACTGACTTCCTGTGTAATCCCTACAGATATCCCTCCGGTCCCTAGAACAACGCCTGTTTTGAGAACGCCCCAGATAAATCTACCACTGAGGTGCCCTCGCCACCATGGAGGCCTCCCTTTTCTGGCTTCCTGTTGTCACAGCCATACATGAACTGCTTTCGGGTTTATGGCTTGTGCGGCATTGAACAAGCGCTTCCAAAAATCACCGTCATTGAATCAGGGAATGCTCCAAAAGCACTACACGCACCGCGTGCCTAGAGAGGCGGAAGATCTCGGCCAGGGCCTCAGTGGGTGCACGCGGAAGTCTTGTAAAGCTCTGGTGCTGTGTTTTGTGGAGTATGACAGTAAAAGGTGAAGTGCAACGACAGTCTAACCCTCATTCCAATACTACTTGATTGTTACCATGCAAGCCCATCAGCACGACTGATGCGTTCTGACCTTGGCTCATGGTTGTGTGAACTTGATACGGATTATTAGTGTAAAGCGCAGGCAGTTTCTCAAGGAGCAAGCTTGACTTCTGACACAGTGTTGCTTGATTTCGCGGTGCCGTGTTGCCGTTGCAAGGACCTCGAATCAATCTCACCTGGCGTTGGATCAAGCAGCACGTGAAGGTACTGTCCCGACATGCCGCGACGGTTTTGTCGAGAAGCATGTCAGCAGGACTTGCCATATGGCACCGTTACATATTCCCGCCCAATGTGTGACGAAGCCGAAGGAGAAGAGATTTGTCATGAGGAGTCCTGACAGCAACATTTCTCCTCCAAACTCTTTGCATGCTTCTCGACATATGGATACAAGTAGATGCACCGACAGCATAGAAGGTGCATGTATATTCGTTTAAGAGTTGCGAACCTGCAGGCCTGTCCAAAAGCTTCGAAGCCCTGAGCCAGTTGCAGCTTGGCACGGAAGAGTTAGTGGGCAACGCCGAAGACTGTTGGGTTCTATGATCCAGACCAAAACTCATGGACAATTATTTAGGAGCAGTATGGGTGTTCACATCTTTTCTTTGGGGTCCCAGAAACGAGCGTTGCATATTTAGATCTAGAGTGGGGCCCCCTGATGTATGGAAACTACCAAGCATATCTAGAATGGAAGTCTGGTAGCAGTTGGGTGATGTTGGATGCGCCAAGGGCTAAAATGCTCTGTGATTCACGTTGCGGCAGGTATTCGAGGGCCGCGCAGCCGACACAGAAGCGATTTGGCGGTTTCCCAAAATTCGGGGTACCTCTAAGGGGGTCCCAATAATAAAGGTCTACTTATTTTGGGAAACTATCCATTTTTCTGGCTGGGACATCGTCTCCTTACACATCGGGCACGACCCCACCCCTTGCAGATCTCTGAGACATAAGAGATTTGAAGGGTGCCTGTTGCAACAAGCCTTCCGGGCTTCTAGTCACCTTGAGATGCGTGGCTTCCAAGAGAAACTTCTAGTAATAGCAATAGTTATAGCAATAGTAAGAATAGTGATGTTAGCTCAGAGAAGAATGTATAAAGCCACATAAGGAAGGAGGACATCTTGTTGACAAGCGGCCAAATGGTCAAACAACTCATTTGAGCGATTGGCACCTGCCCCCCGGCAATCGTTTTGTCCAGAGTCTTTCGGTTGCCACCTGCCTGCGGCTCCACGCTCTCGAAATGGGAACAATTCCTCCATTTTGGCCTGTGACTGCAACGTGCCAGCTGGCTGCTTGCCAAGAGAGGTGTTGAGCCAAGCTCTGAAAGTTCGTAGACCAGGCTCAGGCGGAAGTCCAGAAGACTTTGCCTGGCCGGTCTCCAAACGTGTTGGTGAGATGCCATCAGGAATGCTTGGCTGGCTTTAAGGGCACCTTGCATCAGCAGGTGTCTCCAGC